TGAAAGTTCTGTTATAATGCTACTCTGTGCGGTCGTCACCGGTCTTAAAACACACTACATATTAAAGCGTCTTTGGTGTTTCCATGTTTTCTACAAAAACAAAACCGGAAATCGAGGGGTTATGACGTCATCAGCAGGCGACACAATGACACTATGGGCACGCTAGTTGTGTCACTAGTTAAAATAGCTTATTTCTCTGGATTTAAACATTCTTCGAAACATTTGGGATGATGTAAGTACACAAGTCAGCAAAATATATAACACTGTTCTAGTGGTTTTTGGATATTTTAATAAAAAAAAATCTTACATGTTGTGCCTTTAAACAAAAATTTACATGGAAACAGAAATAATAAAAATTAAAGCTAATTTAAAATATTAATAAAAACTGTAATATTGTATCCGTTATACTAAAATAATTTTGCATGGAAAGCCCACTGTTTCCTTCAGGAAATCTAGCCCAGCCATCCAGCTTTCAATTATTTTACTATTATTTATTTTTTTAATTGTATTATTTATTTTATTTCTGCAATTTATGTATTCATTTTAAAATGTTTGTAATTTATTTTTATGCATTGAGCTTTTTTTTTGTTTATTATTTGTATTTTTTTTATTTATATTTTATAAATTTATTTAAATTATCATGAATTAAAAATTTTTATAATTTCTTATATATATTTATATATTTTTTTTAATTTTTAGTTTATTTAAAATTTTTTAAATTGTAATTTATTTTGTATTTTTCAATAACTTTGTTTATTTTATTTATTTTCAAGTGTTTTTTTTACTTTGTTTTTCTTAATATTTTTATTTTTAAATGTATTTATTTGTATTTTTTACATTTATTTATTTATTTGTATTTATGCAATTGCAACTCTAGTAAGTGTTATCATTCAGAATGTGTTTTGTAGAGTGAATCCTGCTCCATCTGTTGCAGGAAATCGCTCAGAGTCTGAAAGAGGAGCAGATGAAGCTGACCTCGAGCAGCTCTTTCTCTGACGTGCATCTGGAGGAGTCAGATAATAAGAAGCTCATCAGCTCTGGTGTGTGTTTGTCCTGACACCGTTTCTCTGCTCAATAAAGCGCTGATTATCCTGAGCGTATGCTGTGTTTGTCCTGCAGAGCCGCGCTCACAGAGCACAGTTTCTCCCGCAGATCTTCATGGCATGTGGTATCCCACCGTCAGACGGACGCTCGTGTGTCTCTCCAAACTCTACCGCTGCATAGACGTCAGTGTAACACACCACCATCAATCATCATCACCGCTGCATGATTAATCATTACAATATGCATTAACAATTATGTTCATTTAATAATTAACTATT